ACTCCATATGTAATTGACCGGAAAAGACATGTTTGGAGTCCAATTTTGCTTCTTTAGTTTATAATGGTATGAATACCGGTTTACTACAGTATAACTTCATACACCGCTGTTTAAAGTGCTGGTCTGTAGCGTTCAGCCATGTGGTGAAGTTATATTCAATTCTATAGTTCATATGAAGTCTTATTGTGCAGTAAAGCGTCTGGCCGACATAAATGAAGACCTGAATGCATTTTGAGTGTGCTGAGAGAAGCTTTTGAACATGTAATTACAGAGAAAACGTGGGGGACAGTTGACCTCTAGTGTTTGTTAGCATTGTTTGCCTAGCAGCTCCAGATTTAAAATAAAAAAGCAAAATGTGCATTCCAGAATCAATCACCTACATCACAAGAGGAAAATGATGTAATTTGTCTCACCAAACTATTCTTGGGAGTGTGTGTATATACAGTCATGCCCGAAATTGTTGGCAGCCTTGAAATTTTTCCAGAAAATGAAGTATTTCTCCCAGAACATCATTGCAAGTACACGTTTTGTTATACACATTTATTTCCTTTGTGTGTATTGGAACAACACTAAAAAAACAGAAAAAAAGCCAAAAATGATATAATTTCACGCAAAAAAAACTCCTGACAAAATTATTGGCACCTTTCCAAAATTGTGGGTAAATAACTTTGCTTCAAGCATGTGATGCTCATTCAAACTCACCTGTGGCAAGTAACAGGTGTGGGCAATATAAAAATCACACCTGAAACCAGATAAATAGGAGAGAAGTTGACTCAGTCTTTGCATTGTGTGTCTGTGTGTGCCACACTAAGCATGGTGAGCAGAAAGAGGAGAGGAGAACTGTCTGAGGACCTGAGAACCAAAATTGTGGAAAAATATCAACAATCTCAAGGTTACAAGTCCATCTCCAGAGATCTTGATGTTCCTTTGTCCACGGTGCGCAACATAATCAAGAAGTTTACAACCCATGGCACTGTACCTAATCTCCCTGGACGGAAGAGAAAAATTGATGAAAGTTTGCAACGCAGGATAGTCCGGATGGTGGATAAGCATCCCCAATCAAGTTCCAAAGAAATTCAAGCTGTCCTGCAGGCTGAGGGTGCATCAGTGTCAGCACGAACTATCCGTCGACATTTGAATGAAATGAAACGCTATGGCTAAGAGGACCCCACTGCTGACACAGAGACATAAAAAAGCTAGACTGCAGTTTGCCAAAATGTACGTGAGTGAGCCAAAATCCTTCTGGGAAAATGTCTTGTGGACAGATGAGACCAAGATAAAGCTTTTTGGTAAAGCACATCATTCTACTGTTTACCGAAAACGGGATGAGGCCTACAAAGAAAAGAACACAGTACCTACAGTCAAATATGGTGGAGGTTGTTGTTTTGCTGCCTCTGCCACTGGGTGCCTTGACTGTGTGCAAGGCATCATGAAATCTGAAGATTACCAAAGGATTTTGGGTCGCAATGTAGGGCCCAGTGTCAGAAAGCTGGGTTTGCGTCCTAGGTCATGGGTCTTCCAGCAGGACAATGACCCCAAACATACTTCAAAAAGCACCCAGAAATGGATGTAAACAAAGTTAAAGAGTTCTGAAGTGGCCAGCAATGAGTGCGGATCTAAATCCCATTGAACACCTGTGGAGAGATCTTAAAATTGCTGTTGGGAGAAGGCACCCTTCAAATATGAGAGACCTGGTGCAATTTGCAAAAGAAGAGTGGTCCAAAATTCCAGTTGAGAGGTTATAGGAAGCGATTGATTTCAGTTATTTTTTCCAAAGGGTGTGCAACCAAATATTAAGTTGAGGGTGCCAATAATTTTGTCTGGCCCATTTGAAATCATATAATTTTTAGCTTTTTTCCCCGTTTTATGTGTTGTTCCAATAAACGTAAAGGAAATAAACGTGTATAACAAAACGTGTAATTGCAATAATGTTCTGGGAGAAATACTTCATTTTCTGGAAATATTTCAGGGGTGCCAACAATTTCGGCCATGACTGTATATATAAGTGTGTGTGTGTGTGTGTGTGTGTGTGTATGTCAAAGTAAATACTCCATTATGAGTATCTGAGTGTTTGTGCTTAACATAATGTAACAATCATATATAAAAATAAATTCTTTGAAGAGACATGTCTAGAAGCTATAGTTTCTAGAAACATCCTAAATGTCAGAAAACTGAACAAAATCTTGAAATATACATTTTGAATCTCAGAGACCTACTCATTACACAAGTATATAGATGTGGGTGTGTGACAAAGTAAATGCTCTAGTGTATAAGTGTCCATGCTTCTTTATTCACAAAGACAGTACAAAAATAAATTCTTTCAAAAGTGACATTTTAAAAGCCAATTTAAACCACGACATTAAGACATTTGACTAAATCTTGAAATACATTTCAATATCCCATCTCATTGCATAAGAACATGTGTATGAGAGAGAGTTTGAGTGCAGATGGTTTGCTGAAATGCAACAACGCATTGAACAAAATTCTACATAACAAGAAATCTTTCCACATGACAAGTCAAGGAGAAAAGTCTGGAAAAGGCAATTTAGCTAATATTCAATTATTCAGTGCATTTCTTTCTTACATTTGTGTGAGTGCGTGTTTGTGTTCAACTAAGTGTGTCGGAGTGTGTGCATTAGTATCTGGCTGTTTACATGATAGAATGTATATTCAAGAATGCGTGCTTGTGTTTACCCATGTTAACAATGAGAAAACAAATTTTCTTACAAGACAGTACTAAACATGTAAATTCCATCAAGATGAAAACATTCAACAAAGCATGAAATACACATTCCAATCACTAACAGCTGGTGACAGCCAAGTAGCCAGATGTTTTATAGTTTGTACCTTAGAAGCTCGTTTCTCAATGTATTCGTGCAGAGGCTTGGTCTGGTTTGATCATCACCACTCGCTGTAGAAACTCAAAGCAATACTTCATAGCTTGTGAATACTCGAGATTCACACAAAAGATGATACCCATAAGCATGGCAAAGCTGCATGGCACATCTTTGAGGTTGTGTAGTACAATGGTCTCCTCCATCACAACTGCAACACTTTCTCTGGAGGAAAGGCATCCTTTAGAACACCTTCATGGCCTATCAGGAGGCCAACTTGCATCCCCTCCATAGCCACCACCATCAGATATAGTCTTACATCACACATCCTGATTGCATTTGCTAGATCTTCGAATAGGTAGTGTTGCAGACCATCAAAGCTGCAGTCCTTCACCTCTCATTTGTGTTCTACAGGATGTATACAGTACAGTGAGAGATGAAATATAAAACATAGCGACACATTTTAGTGTCATCACATGCTGAACTTATATATTCCTCAAGGCAGTCCAAAAAAATTCTCCGTCTTCCACGTTGATGATTGTCTTTGTAATGGTTTACTATAGTCTTTTCATTATATGAGGCACAACTGCAAAACTTACATCTCCATTTTATCCACAATTGCGGCCAAACTTCAATGAATTAAAACTAAACCTGTAAAACAGAAAATTCATTATCAGAACAGATAAGGGGTACACTGATTAAGTCATATGAACTGCAAACATAATGGAAAGAATCATTTATAGCATTGAAAAAAAAAATCTAATTTACACAATTTTTTACCCTAGATCAGTAAAAACATGACCGAAGTACAAATTGTCATTCTTTGGTTTAGAACTGGAGCTGCTAGGCTAACACTTCTTAAAAAAGATGGTTCTTTACACATTCTTTATTAAAGACATAATTCTATGTACACTGTAAAAATGTGACTAATGGTTACTTAAAAAAATTATGGCAACAAGTGGCACGTAATATAATTGAATAGATTTTACTTGCCCAAACTTTGATTAAAATGCATTAAATACGAACTAAATTTAAGCAAAAAAAAATTAAGTAAATGTTAATAAAAGCAACAGTTAAAATGTGTTGTATTTAGTAATAGTATGCCACATTGAGTTAATGTAGCCCACAAATATTGAGTAAATACAAATTAATTTAACAATGAAAATTTAGTAATATCTACCAAGCATCTGAGCAAAATTGCTTTATATTTACTCAATATCTCGGGAAAATGTATTTACATTTACAAAATTTCTGGGGAAAACTGGTTTATATTTACTACTCTTTACTACAGCTGTGGTTGCCAGATCTTCCCAGTAAAAATATATAGTGGAAAAGTATAAGACATTACAGTATGCTTTTTTGCCAACCGTAAATTTCACTGTTGAGAACTGTTGTTTGTTTACAGTTAATTACTGTGAAAAAAAGCATATATTGTAAATTTGTATACAGTAAATTATTTTGAAAACAACAGATATACTATTAACATAATTACAGTCTATCAGTGATAAACACAGTACAACCGTATGACACATTACAGTATTTTATTGCAAAGTTCAGCTTTACAGTAAATTACCAGCAGCTGTGGTTGCCATACTTTCATTGCAAAAAATACAATACAGCACATAAGGAATTACAATTAGTCGGCATAGATTTAACAGTCAACGACTGCTTGTGGTAAATTACAAAGGAAACAAAAAATAATACCCATTACAATCCAAGGTACAAACTATACTGATGAACTTCAAGAAGGTTTTCTTGCATGCATCAATAAAATGTCCAGGATACTCACAAAGCTATGTTGAGATGATTTAAAAACAGCACGTGTCCATATATAGGAGGATAATCCACGCTGGAATGGTTAAAAACTCCAGCAGCACTGCTGTGTCTGATCCACTCGTACCAGCACAACACGCACTAACACACCAACACCACATCAGTGTCGCTGCATTGCTGAGAATGTTTCATGAATAATACCTGCTCTGTGGTGGCCCTGTAAAAAGGGAAAGGGGGGGCACTGTATACAAAGAAACAGATGGACTCCAGTCTGTAAGTCAGGAGTACTGTAAAAATAGCCAGTGAGCATATATGTAGAGTATGTTTGGGAGAGAGAATAAACATCTGAATCCTACCTGTTAAAAATACTCAGCTCTTAACAGATGTGGAGGTCTCTGGTCAACTTCTCTGTCACTTGCAGTTTGTGAAGATGGATTCCTCATGACTGCATTTAAAATGAAGAAATAAGTGAGCAAAATTATTAATAACTACTCACCATACAAAACATAAGGTTAAAGAATCCTGAACAAACAGTAAACCGTATCAAAAATAAATCTACAAAGCAACAAGAAAAACAAAGATATATGCAAAGCAATACAAGAAAGAGCAGGTTACTGTGGATGACATTGTACTATGTCTTTTACAATAGCACACAAACTAAGTCCTATTGTTTTTATACAACGGTTTTGCAAAGTAAAGAAAAAAACAAAGCAGGTGAGTCAAATACATGTTAAAATACATAGTACTGACAATGTCTTGTGCTAAAAGAGGTAATAAAATATTTAGCGTAATATGTACTAATACTAAGATCAATACCATAAAGATACTATAAATTAAAGTACCTGGGACAATTCCTGATCAGTTGAGAACCAGAAGCAGCAGTGGATGACTGTAAAAGATAAAACATTTGGTAAAGGTTTAAAAGACTAGCTTCAACAACTGAAACAGATACAGGCACATTTATGTTGGCTAACTGCATTTTTTGGCTTATTCTGGAGTTGGTAATCAGCGAGAAGCAGGGTGGAGAAAAGACACAGCTTAGTTGTTGTGTAAGACAGGTGTTGGTAATTTGAGTAAAAGCAGAAATACTCTTGGTTAAATATTACTTGTGAAAAGGTATTCAGTCAACATCTGTACTTGAGTCAACATGCACCCTCCATGAGAAACCATTTAAAAACATCACTGTTCTTTCCCAAAGGTTATTACAGTCAGTCAACAGTCAGTCATGAGAAACACAGACATACTAATAACTATTAAGTTTAAAACACTGACTTCAATTAAAGACAGACACATTCATCTTAGACGATTACAAATGTAGAAAAATGAGAGTAAACAAACCAGCAACATGCCAGAGAAAGAGAGGTAAATAAAATACCTGAGAAATGCTGGTGATAGATGTAGGAAATGTGTAGGTAACTGCAAGAAGAAAAGATATGGTTAAACCTGAAAATAGTGACGACGAGTGAGGAGAAGAAAAACAGATTTCACAAACTTAAGTGTGATTTAGGATTGTTAGCATGTAAAATCACTTGGCAGCTAGTTGCCAAATAGAAGCTCAGTTGACCTTGTTAAACTAATGCTGTACCAGTCTGTAACTGTACCAGTCACTCCACATCTCCCCCTCAGATTTCTGTTTTTATCCTCTAAACTCCTGTGAGAAAAGCATCGAACATGCTCTGTGGGGTGAGAGATCGTTAGCCTGCTGGCCACCAAGCTAACAGCCCCACACATCACAGACCGCAGTTAGCTAACCTAGCTAGGTGAGCTAGTCAGTCTCTCGACTGCTCCCGTTCAGATGTGAGCCCATCATGGTCAGCACAGGTCAGCTGAAAAACCGGTCGTCCAACAGAGCTAGGTTAGCTAAGCTAGCTGGGTTATTTAGCTAGCTAGCAACTTTAACAGGTGTACTCACTGGTTTATTATACCATGAATTCGACACCGTCTCACTTTAAAATTGTAATTTAGCTAAAAAGGTGCCTTTCATATGTTGTGAGAGCAAACAGTTAGCTACTAAAAGAGGTGACTCGCTAGTTAGCTAGCTAGCTAACTTAACTGTTAGCAAGTGATGCTTATTTTCGTTTTGACATATAAAGAGTTCAGCATTCACAAATTACAGAATTAGGTTTGAATAAATATCCAATTGAAAAGCTGCTGCTACGTCAAATAAACCAATAATTTATTCACCAAACGCATTTTGAATCCTTTCGAAGTTTCCAGAAGCGGCTCTAGGCGCGCAGGTATCGCCTCCGCGGTGAAACGTTGGTGACGGCTTGGACCTCAATACGGGTGTAATCTACTCTCCTCAATACGGGTGGAATCTTCCCGTATATCTTTTGCCGACACATCAGAGACCCTCGCCCCTATCCGTACCGTAACAGTAAAATCTGTAATTTAAGTCCAGGCCATGCTTCTATGCTAATCAAAACTAAAATGCTGCTATCTTAAATTTGACTTACAGCACAGGAAATTTGACATGTTTGGTAGCTGCAGTAACTTAAAAGAATGGGCAACTGCTACAGCAACATACTTGTTTCCTAGCAATAATTAAAAAGGTCTTACCTTTGGGAAGTTGGAGGACTGACCCCCTGAAACGTGTAGTCACTGGTATCCATGAGGCACAAAATGCGTTGGGTGAAAGTGTGAGGTGATTAAAACCAAATACCTCCTAATGAGTAAAATCTAATCAATTTTCTGCATCGTTGTTGTTCCTGATAAAACATAAGTAAATTCTACTCAATGTATCACAGCACATTTTATTCAACCAAAACAGCATAAAATGCAATTAATAAATCATTCAGATTTATTGGATTCAGCTCAGTTTGATTTCTAACTGAACATAGTCTTTTTATTATGTAGAGGTTACTATTAGTTATTTAGTAAATTAACCCCAGTCCTACTTTATACAGCGTTGAACCATTTGCATGCTTAAATGGTTCTTTGCATGATGAAAATGTTCTTCAGATTGATGCAGAATGTGTTGTATAAGGTTGTGTACAGAACCTTTTGAAAATTATTCTATAGCACCAAAAAGTGTTCTGCTATTGTTGTGATCTCTTGTCACAATAGAAGAACCATTCTTGGTGCTATATAGAATCATACACAACACATTCTGCATCAGTCTGAAGAACATTTTCACCATGCAAAGAACTATTTGACTATGCAAATAGTGCTTTGAGTGTTGATGGTTCTAAACCAATGTCTTCGCTAAGGAACCCCTCAAGAATCATCTTTTTTTAACAGCATATATTATGTCTATCAATATGTGCCCAAAACCTTCTCTCAACACACCCAGAACACATCTGGGTCTTAATGTCACCCAGACTACTCATTGTGGTTTAATACAAACTTTGACTTAATATGAACTGTAGAAATTAATAAAATTCGCCATAAAGATGAAAACTGTAGACTGCCATTTTAAACAGCGGGTGTTACCATGAAGTTTATTCATTTTTATAGTTAGCTAATAAAAAAGTCTCACCGTCCTATATTAAGACCTGGTTGTGTTTTGAGCGGACTGGCTTCCTATTCTCCAGCTTCTTGTTTGAGTTTGCCCATTCCACCTTACATGGTGCACTTTCTGGTGCCTGAAGCTGCACCATTTAAGGTGGTACGGGAAAATTCAAAAAAGCTGGCTGATGCACCATTTAAGGTGGAACGGGAAAATTCGACAAAGAAGCTGGCAAATAAGAAGCTGACTTCAGGTTCGTGTAAGAAGGTGCTAACGTTAATCTACTATGAATATCTACACGGATTAAAGAATGCTGTAATTTACCTAGCTACAAAGCATTAACCATCCCTGGAAATAAATAGCTACTACATAAACTTAAGATACCCTGAATAGACCTTTAAATGAAATAAGCTCAATAAAAACACAGAGGAAAAACAATCACATCAACAGGTTCTCTGTGCCTCACCAACCACACAGCCATATCTACACATAAACATCACACAAACAATACGCATCACACAAACACGAGCGTGGATCACTGCGTCCCCTCCGTTATATAATCATATCCTATCCCACTTTCTGAGAGCAATATTCCTGAAATAGTATAATTTTGGACAGTATTTTTCTTAAACTGCCGCTCTGTAATGGTACTGAATGCAGTCCAGCAGCGATGTTGACTGTCCTAAAATGGCAGCGCCGTTGACGTGCCTGGCTGGACCCAACGCGGCATCTAGGTATGTATATGTATGGTTGTGAGCACCAAAACAATAGATTGTTACAACGTAACCATGTTTGCTGGAATAGTGTTTAAGGGTTTCGTCTATGCCTTCAATTTAATAAAACGCTATGTACGGTAGCCACTAAGCCTCTTGACTTCTATGTGATGTTGTATGCGGAGCTGAGTATGTTTAAAATGGAAGCAAAGGTAAACTATGCAGGACAGTGGTGCAGTACTGTTTTAAACTTAGTTTTTATAAAAAAGAATTTTAAATGCATGTATTATTAGCATTATTGTTATCCTTTCATAATTTTACAAGAATTTAATGATTTAATGTACCAAAAATGGTAATTGAAAAAAGCAGTCTGGGCTAAATCACTACTTAAACAGGGATTGGTGGACTAAACTGTTGTAGGCTGAACAGACTTTGGGATATTTGTAAATGCTGCTTTTTGTGACATCACAAAGATTATATAGACCTGTCCTGTGCAGTAAATGACTTGTGAAACAAGATTTCTGGTAAATGTAGATGAGGATCAGATTAGATTAATCATAAGTTACATAAATCACAAATTATAATTCTTGCTTCAGAAAGATTGTTTTTCAGATGCCTCAGCTGGAATGTCATAGACTGTTGTAGTCTGGGGTGAACTATGTTATGTTGGGAATTTTAATGTACTTTTCCCTTCCTCATTCTAGGCTGCTGAACAGTTAAACCTGTTGTGCTTGATTTGTTTGAATTCCAGTTACTTTTTTCTGCAAAAAAAACAACAACACTCTGCAACTGAATGTGTCAGACTTTTATTCTTTTTTTCATTTGTTTTAGAGGTGATAATTTTTCAGGTTCTCTTCTATGATGAAATCTTCTGTTCATAATCTCCAGCAATTCACCAGATTGGATGAAGCGTGTACAGTGCATGTCATACATAAAGAATGACAGGTTCAGTACTGTCAGTATGTGAATACATTTATTATAGGAAAAATGAGTAAAACAAAGCTTTACAATCACAGGAAATTTTAATTAACATAGCAGAATATTAGTAAACAAAAATAGAAGTGAAAGTTGATTTTGATTGCTCTTGCTTATAAATCATTTGACAGGCTTTGAAGATTATAAATGAAGAAAAACAGCGCCAGAGACTAATTATGCTAAGAGAGCTTGAGTTGGGCTTTCAGTCTGACTCTCTGATTCTCGCTCTGCTGGCGACTCCACACTAGTCTCACTTCGTGTTGCACTTTGAATCTCTTCATAGCCTCTGCCTCTACCAAAAATCCTCCTCCTCTTTTTCACCATGTACACTGCTACTACTCCTATCACCACGGCAGCCACAGAGGCTAGAACGCCTACGGCAACTCCAGCCTTTTTCCCTGCTGACTGAGGGGAGTCTTCAAATATCTGGGATATTTTGTTGAGGTCCTCAGGCTTTGCAGCCCTCCACATTTTTGTGCCTTTGACTCTCACCCAGGTGCGGTCGCCATCGGTCATCACAGCTATAGTGTTTGTGTCTAGCATCATAATCACTGGAGGTCTTGTGAAAGGTGGCAGGTGGATGGGTAGTAACTCGCCTCCAGTGAAAACACCAGACTGAACACAGTACAGTATCTGGCATCCATCGCTTATGGCGGCAAGATGTTGACTGAACTGTGGTGGACAGTGAGACTGGTTTCCTGCAAGCAAGTTGGTAGACTGGCAGCTAAAGAAACCTCCAAACGGTACAGAGAATTTGGTTGCTGTTTCGTAGTCACTGCTCAGACAGATCATAAAGCCATTTGACAAAAATTTCTGAGGGAAGAAATTTGGAGGACAAGATCTGGATTTGGTTAATGGGTTTTGTAAAGAAGGGCCATACAGACCTCCAAAGAGATATCCAGAGAACTCTGGAGCCACTTCATTAGTGGAGCACCAGTAGGTGTCAATGCGTGCACGCTCAACATAGTACACATTTCCACAGACTTGATCACAGCAGGTGGAAAGCCAAAGAAAACCACATGACTCGCAGTGTGTGTTGCACACGTATTTATCGTAAGATCTTTCCTGTGTTTCTGAGCGCAATAGGGTAGCAGAGTATGGTTGCTGACAGGAATATGAGTCAGTGGCTGGGTTTTTTGCAGCGAGATCCTGGCAGATTGCATCTCCATCTTTCAGGGGAGTGCACTGCTGGTAAACTCCACCAAAGCTAAAGTTGGTGCTGGGACCCTCACAAGAAGTATTATTTATATTAGCTTGGAAATTAAAATTTTTAGAGTCTGGATTCACACATCCAGGGCGAGTGTTGATTTTATAGTAACGTTCTATGGCCTGACTCACAAACAGAGCTAGTTTTTTCACTGTTGGCAGTGGGAGGTCTGGAAACATTGATGGATTAAGAAAATAGTGGAGTGGTAGTCCACTACGGTCAATAGCTACCAGATTGTTTAGTGTGCTCTCTTGCCATTTCTGTAGAGTGATGCCAGGATAAAACAAAGCCCCACCATGACTCAGTGTTATGGAGTATGTAATGTTACCCTGGTAGCTCCGAGTTTCAGATGTTTCTTGAGATTCATTACTACCAGTTTTAAATTCAACTATTTTTAAAAAGTTAGCACCAGCTGATGCTGAAACAGAAGACTGAGAAAACTGCATATCAGAAACATAAGAGGATTTTAAGTAGTCCTCCTCCACCAAAGTAGCACCAGCATCAACACTTGTGATGACGTGTGTGCCATAATCAAATACCATCTTCTCTGACAGATACTCTGCCTGACGGGTTTGGTTGTTCTCGATGGCATCTGCGATTTCCTGTACCTGACGGGCGAAGCGGGTGTCCAGAGTGAAATCAGGAAACACCTTAACAGTGTACAGATGATTACGCACCTGAGGAAAACCAACAAAAAGAATGGGAAAAACTTATAAACTTATATAAACATGCATACTCATAGGCTTCAGAATCTGCCAATCCCTCCCTTTCCTTGTTTTGACAAACAAAGTGAGTTAAATCCAGGAGGTAAACACTGTTGATCCTGAAAGGCGTTTTATCAGTTTTTCCTTTCTAATTTTCTCTTTGAATTATGTGAACGTGTTATTTTATCAAAGTAAATATAATTAGGTAGTGTACTTAGGCTAAAACTCAGTCAGGTTGAGAAATTACTTTTTTGTCCCTCAAAAATTCTGTCTGTCCTTTAATAGCTTTAATCAAAATTGTTTAAATTCATACACACATAGAATAAAAATATGTCATTACTGTCTGAAGAAACATGTGTATCTCCAAAGTGGTAACTTTTAATATAAGTTAATATCAGGAGATATTCCAACCATTTTTTGAGCATTTTTATTGGTCCATTCATCATGCAATGTTAATGCAATGTTAAGGGTAGCTGCTAAGCTCCAATGATGTCAAAAAATAAAAAATGCTAAATTTGGACACAGATTATATACAGTAATCCCAACAAAATATTCAATGGAGAGAAAATAGTCATGAAACACAACAATGAAACCAAAGCCAGGGTATAGTATATGTTGTATTATGTTTTTAAACAATCAACATAGCAGTGTCCCACTGATTGAAATCAGAATCAAAGAATTCCAATGAACGTTTAGACCTTGACTCTTCAGCCAGAAGGGAACAGCTCAAAGAATCAGTGCATACTAGTATATTATCCTTTTGAGTTATATTAGCAATGATATTCACAACAGTAAAGGAATCATTAGTTTTTCTGTTGTCCTGTCATTTTGCTTCATTGGTTGATAATTTGTTGCATAATTCAGATTAGTTTCCAAAAATATTTAATTCCAAAATAATACAATTCCAAAAATATACTGTGTTAATTGTAATACACAGTGGTTTTAGCTCAAATTATGTTACTGGGTCTTACCTGTACACGTGATGTGACAGAATTGTCTTTCACCTGATGGGTTTTCATGCGTTTGTTCTCAGTAGAGAACTTGGCGTTGAGTACAGGGAAGAAGGACCCGTCTGCGTTAATGGAGCTTGAAGTGGTGCTTTTCTGTTCCAGCCATGAACTGATGATCTCTGAGTTCATCTCCACTCTGCTCACCTTCTGTGGGATGACGAAGACCTCGTCTGGGATGATATACACGCCGTCCTCGGTGGTCTGGCACTGGGAATAGCTCATGTTCATCACTCGCCCCATATCAAGGTTACGCAGGTTGTCCCAGCCTCCCCCAGGGAGGACCTCCAATGCTGGTGCACTAATATTTTTGTGGCACTCACGAAGTCCATTGTCTGGACGACTGAGTGGATGGAGATCACAGGCACTGATGAATGCAAAGATACTCAACAGAGAGAGGCTTACTGAGCCCATGACTGCCAGGAGGGACTGCTCTGAGTCAAAGGTGTGTTAGGACTATATATTACCTCTCCTGTTGGGTGGCTGCCAACGATCTCTGTCTGATAAGTTTTCAACCTGTTCAATTTTAGTTTCACTTAGATCCACATCTGTTTATAAGAGCTTTCCAGTTCCAAAAAAAAAACAATTCCTCTTCTTTATACAGATGATCATACAAATGAGAAAAGGAATGTTTATACAACTGTTATCAGATCTGAGATTGTGTTCTTGTTTACCCACTGTCAGTTTTATATCTGCATAAAAATCATTCCCTTAGGGAAGGGTTTCCAGATTTTTGTTGAGATAGAGGGATAGTGCAAAGTGTTAGGGCTACATGGCCCTCCAAATTGAGTTTTTTCAGAGGCACACTCCAAACAGAGTGTGACTCTGAGAAAAAAAGAAGAACCAAGATGGCTGCACAAGAGACCAAAGAAACCCACAAATGTAAAAAATGTAAAAAAAATTATAATAACCATTGTGTTTCAATGTATTATGGTCCTTTTCTTCATAACAGCATTTTTAAGCATAAAAAATTGCTAGTAGTATGCTGATGTCTCGGTAGCTAGCTAGCTAAATTTCCCGTTCCACCTTAAATAGTGCAGCAGTTACATTCTGGCACATCAGGCATCAAAACTGCTGTACCATTTAAGGTAGAACAGGACAATTCGAACAAGAAGCTGGTGAACAGCAGACTTCATATCACCAAAGAGTCAGGGGTGGGCGATAATAAATTATTGTCACCCCCCAACCCCCCCATCCCCCTCGAAGGCATATGATTCCCTAAACTAAAGAACAGCAGCGAGTTTACTGAACTTTACCCTCCTCTGCTGTGTTTAAGCGCCCTTAGCACGACACATACTTTGTATAACATCTCATTTTGACAACATGCACCTGAACTTGCAAGAGTCAGAGTTGTGCAATGTGTCACATGTTTAGACATCAAAAAGCATGTAAATCTGCTGCATAACTTACTGAGAGGTAAGGCAAGTTTTCTAAGTGTTCTAAGTTTAAAAACATGTTTGTCCAGTTTTGGAATGGTGCTTTAAAACACTTTTGGTTTTGATTTAATCAAGGTTATAAGTAGTTACATTTATATTATTCATTTTTAGGTCAGAAAAAATGTCTTGGTTTTCGTGAAAGAATGTTTTACGCTGTTTTGTTTTCGATTCTGTTCTAGTTTTTTTCTGTTGGAGGTTGTTTTCACTACCTTGTGAATGTGTTGTATGGAAACTGTTAAGTCGAACTAAATGGATGACTGTTCTCTGGTGTTCTGTCACCTTCAAGGTAAACTTAGCTTGTGGTAGTTATGCATGTCTTGTTTTATTTGTTGTTCTAAAGCAGTGGTCCCCAACCCTGGTCCTGGAGTACCCTTTTACAGTGACTTCAGTTCTAAAACAGAAACGCTACCAATATATAGGTAATATATAAATAACACGCAAGCAGAAATGGGTTCATCAAATGTCATGAGTCTTTGAAAACAGTGATCTAATAATGGGTGCAATAACACAGCTGTGAGTACAGTATGTTCGAGTTTGTGTTGTGTCTGACTTCATTTGCCACACAGTGTAAACACACTGTGTGGCCTACAAAGCCAATACAAGCTATTGACCAGCAACAAACCCGCCAGCTTTGTGCCTTGTACTACTCCACCAGCTCCTGGTGTTTGCCATCCTTCTTCTCATTCATCTCCTCAAAGTGGTCTTCTTAGGGCTGTTTTGAGGTCTCTAATAGTATTGCCACATCAGGCCATTGCAAGGTTAATTCTATGTTTGGGGGCAATTTGAGTTGCTTGCCCAGGTGGACTGGGAACTACCAGTATGGTGGTGTGGTAAGTAGGCCTCCTGCAATTCTGAACCACATGTGCCGGGGGTCTCCCTGCTAGACATCGGAGTGGGTGATCTTCCATTCCAGCATGTTGTCCCATTTTGTCCAGGATCAGTTGTCGTTGTACTGGACCTTGTCTTACAGGGGCATAGGGGAGCTGCCTAACCACACTCGTCCTGTATGCCTTATCCCCTTTTTTCTGTGTTCCTCAGTTGTGCCTCTGCTGTATGCAACTCCTTGTGGGCCTTCCACTTCCTTCTCACCCTGAGCTCAGTGCTTGCTTTCAAGACTTGATGGTCCCTGGAGTCCCTGTACTCCAGCTCTCCATTGTACAAAAAACCAGGGACACAATTTAATGGGACCTGCAATGTATTGCTCTCCCATGCAGAGCTGCACTGCTTAGACTCCATAGTTGACCCACACACTTGCAAAGGTAGCTGGTGATCTTCCTCTCCATGACTCTGCAGGGGGATGCTGTGTTGGTGCATCCAGGATTTAAATGTCCGAACTAAGCCTGACTTGTCCACTATGGTTAGTCAGGCCTTGAGTTCCTTGATGGTAGACTTGACAGCAGCTGTGTCTCTGAGACTGCAGTCCAAGACCAAGACTGCAGTCTTTTTCTAGACTTGTGACTGATTTCTCAGTAATTGACAGAATTGACTGTTTGCAAAATTGATTGATGCCTCTCAGCCAATCACAAATATCTGTAAACAATTATCAACAATCAAGCATATATCATCAAATGAAAGAAAAACTCTGAGAACTACTCAGAACATAACTGTAGTGAGAATTGTGGTGGCAGTAAATTATTCAGGATTATTAAAAATAAAAGTGGCATAGATATTTTGCTATTTTGAAAATCCTTTAACATCTCCATCCTACAAACCACCCCATACAAGCACACGTACGCAGCCGTTAGCAGTCACCGTTTGTTGGCATGTATGTTTGTTTGTTTGTTTGCTCGTTTGGGTTTTTGTTTTGGTTTTTTGTTTGTTTTCTTTAATAGTCACCTATTATCCTTTCTGGACACCTTTTGTCAGTTTCTGTAATGTTTCAAATGTGTGTTCCATAAAAATGATTTAAATTGTGGAACATTTTCAATAAATATATTGATAATAATGGTCACAATAATTTCAGACTTTGCATTTTCTAAAACAAAACATAACAAAAAGCATATACATAACTTTTTAAAATTTCAAGTTTGAACCAAATGAAGTCAGTTTTTGTTGAGAATGGTCTGTATAGGTGATTCCACGACTGCTTTGCCATTTTAACCCATCTCACGAACAATATCATATTATTACAAGGTTTCTTTGGTGAGAGTGGCGGTAAATACATTTTAAAGCAGGATCATCTGAACATGTAGCTGTTGATCAAAAATATTTGATCATAAATCAAAATGACATAAATGTTTCACAGACTGTTGTGGACCTGGGTGAGCTATGTTGGGAATTTCCATGTCTTTTCCCTCTGCCTCATTCCAGACTGCTGAATGGTTCAAACTGTTGTGCTTTGAGTTGTTTGAGCTCCAGTTACTTTGTATGGTGTACTCTGCAGAGGGTAGAAGTGACAAAGTTTACACTGATTTTTCTGGTAAGAGATCATATTCCTTGTTCGTCTTACTGTTTGTGAAATGTTCTGCAGTGTAATGTGAGAACATCAGATTTTTATTCTTTTCAATGTATTTAGTAGTGAAAATGCTTCAGGTTCTTTCTTTGAGAAACCTTCTGTTCATAATCACTTAATTACAAGTCAGAATCATCAGTGAATCACAGGATTGAACGAAGTGTGTGCAGAACATGTAGTACATGTAGAACAACAAATTAAGTGCAGTCATTTTGTGAGCATATTTATTATTCATTATAGAAAGAATAACAAAAACAATGGTTACAATCACAGAATATTCTGATTAAAATAGTAGTAAAAATTTTGATTGCTCTTGCTTAGATATCATTTGACAGGCTTTGATGATTACAAAGGAAGAAAAACTCGCATTGACAGAGACTAATTATGCTAAGAGAGCTTGAGTTGGGCTTTCAGTCTGACTCTCTGACTCTTGCTCTGCTGGCGACTCCACACTAGTCTCACTTTGTTCTGTACTTTCAATCTCCTCATAACCTCTGACTCTACTGAGCCCAGAAACCCTCCTCTTCTTTTTCACCACTAACACTGCTACTACTGCCACCACGACAGCCACAAAGGCTGTAACACCAAAGGCAACACCAGCCTTTTTCCCTGCTGACTGAGGGGAGTCTTCAAATATCTGGGACATTTTGCTGATGTCCTCAGGCTTTGCCACCCTCCACATTTTTGTGTCTTTGACTCTCACCCAGGCACGGTCACCTTCAGTCATCACAGCTACAGTGTTTGTGGCTATCATACCGATCACTGGAGGTCTTATGAAAGGTGGCAGGTGGATGGGTAGTAACTCGCCTCCAGTGAAAACACCAGACTGAACACAGTACAGTATCTGGCATCCATCGCTTATGGCTGCAAGATGTTGACTGAACTGTGGTGGGCAGCGAGACTGGCTTGCTGCAAGCGAGTTGGTAGACTGGCAGCTAAAGAAACCTCCAAATGGTACAGAGAATCTGGTTGCTGCTTCGTAGTCGTTGCTTAGACAGATCACAATTCCATTTGACAAAAATTTCTGAGAAAAGAAATTTGGAGGACAAGATCTGGATTTGGTTATTGGGTTTTGTAAAGAAGGGCCATACAGACCTCCAAAGAGATATCCAGAGAACTCTGGAGCCACTCCATTAGTGGAGCACCAGTAGGTGTCAATGCGTGCACGCCGAATATAGTACACATTTCCACAGATGTCTTTACAGCAGTCAAAAAACAACCAACATGAATGACAATGCCTATGACACTCATAGTTATTGTATGGTCTCTCTTGTGTTTCTGAGCGCAATAGAGTAGCAGTGTATGGTTGCTGACAGGAATATGAGCCAGTGGCTGGGTTTTTCTCAGCGAGCTCCTGGCAGATTGCATCTCCATCTGAAGTCAGGGGAGTGCACTGCTGGTAAACTCCACCAAAGCTAAGGTTGGTGCTGGGACCCTCACAGGAATTATCATCTACATTAGCTTGGAAATTGAAATTTTTGGAGTCTGGCTTCACGCATCCAGGGTGGGTGTTGATTTTATAGTAACGTTCTATG